ACTCGTCTGAACATTCACTTATTGTGTCACTTTTCACTTTGCACAGTCAAGATATTAACAAGTAATGAGAAATACCTTGGTAAAAGTTTCCTCATAACCTTGTGTATGAGAGATGTGGGAGAAGCTTAATGCCACCTTAAGCTTACCTTCCTACATATGTAATGAGCTTCAGACTGAATAAAGCTTTCATCATTAGTTCYGTTTTGCTGCATAGCATCTAAAGTGAATAACACAAAAAGTAAGTAGTGTTTGGTTGATTAATTATTTGTTTTAACAATGCTTCTTGAAAATAAATCTTATACCGACCACCTGATTGACAGCACCCAGAAGTTCAGAACACGGGTCAATAACCTCAAACTTTGCTGGTTTGCAGAGAAGATTTGGCTGTTTTCATGTGCAGAACTCACTCAGCTCTACTGCTCATCCCACAAATGCATGTTCCTTACAAATGTGGCTCCTTTTAAAAGAGAAACTAACAGGCTTTCAGTATAAGTTTTATTACCAAGAAGCATTGTTGAAACAAAAAAACAACATTTCTCACATTTTGTGGTAAATTTTATGCAACTCTGTTACACTTCAATAAAATGCAAGAAATTATTCAAACGTGCATGACCTTGTGCAATATAAAAATTAACCTTTGCCACTATTTGTTATTTAATAACTGCAACTCTCGTCAGTCTTCGAGAAAACCTCTTGAGAAGCAAAACTTTTGGTATCAGGAAGAATCAGAACAAGTTAAAGCCAGAAGGTAATTAATTCAAGACACTTGTAAAAGCTCCTGAAACTACATAATTACAGTATGACTACACCATTCTGTATCAGCCCCTGAGAGTTTGTCTCCTGTGAGGGGAGAACAATAAGCTTACACATTAAATGGGAGGTACTATTTTCAGCTCAATATTTCTATTCCAAAGTACCATATTGTTATATTGTACCATAACAATATACTGTATATTGTTATATATTGTTGTTATTGTCAGTAGTGGGCAGCGCTAATCCAAAAATTAGCTCCGCAATTTCTAAAGTGCTTATAAAATATTTAGGTCCGCAACTTCAAAAACACTTATGCCAAAGAAAAGTTAGCAGAAGCAAATTTTAAACCACAAGTTCAATTTGATACTTACTAGCTGGCAACAATTTTGTACAATACATGTACAACACTGCCAACTAGTGGTGTATGAACTCTTTTACAGCTTAATTCTACAACCTCTGATTGCTGGGGATGTGATTTCCTGAAACAGACCTTTAGCTCCTGGTGTAAAAATTAAAAAGTTGTTGAGGATTGCTAGTTCGGCTGCTTCTTTGTCTTTTTCTTTTGTTTGTTGTAGATTTTTCATTAAAGAAGCATCAATAAAGTAATTTTAAAACTGTTTATTGGAAAATTGAAGTGATGCATTCTGGGTACATGACAGATTTGATTTGTGACAGGAAACGAAAGCACGGACTACAGGAAAACTATCTTCCCTTCAAAAT